TAATGTGCAAGTTACGGACTATCTACGAATTAAACCCTAAGCGCAGCGGAACTAGAAGCGAGGGTTCAATGCGAACCCTTTTTAATTTATTGGCGACTCTGAGACGTTTCTGATTTCCGCTGTTGGAGATCGTCTGAAAGCTCGAGTCTGTTGGGCAGCCAGACTTGTCCTGCTAATCATCGGACCGTTCACCAACCATCTCGGACCGTCCCAGACTTGTCGTGGACTCATTGAAGCTTCACGAACCATCTAGAGCCACGATGGACCCGGTCTGGACCAGCTGGATTCATCCCGAACCGTCTGGGCCGGTCTGGTGCTCGCTGGACCGATTTTGTGGACTCTGGGCCTCACAAGAAGCTATCCTCGCCTCGGGCCGCGATTTGGAGCACTCTGTTGGGCCGCTTGCGCACATCTGGGCAGCGGAGCATTGGCCCATTGGCAAGAAAGAGGACTGCTGGGCTACGGGCTTCTTGTGGGCTGGCATCGGGCTCACGGGTCGTGTCCTATAAAGAGAGCGGGCGCGCGGGCTGTTCCCAGGCTGAATGCGGGCCGCGCAGCCCGAGTACTATTTTATTTTCCCCTTGGGCTGAACGCTTGATTGTGCCTTCTCCGCGTTGAGCTTCTACGCTGCTGGACCGTCCACTAGGCGGGCTCCTTCACCTGCACTCCTTGTGGGCTGCACATCTGGGCCAGATACCCTGGGCTGCGCGCGGATGACTGGACTTCACCATGGCAGACGGGCTACGCGTGTGGAAATCCCTACGGACTGCGGTGGTGTGTGGAGGCGCGTGGGCCATGCCATGCATCATAATTACGTGCATTTTATAGTGATTTTCGTGTCTGTTTCGTCGTAGTTTGATATATATTTAGTTATTATTTAATTAGTTATTATATAGTTAATTATGTATTTAATTAATTTTATTAAGCTATGATGAGATGTTTTATTTGAAGTTTTGATAGGAAATGGAATCAGATTAATTTTTAGAGTCGAAAATGCCATAAACCGGGCAAGATGGAATAGATTGGAATATAGCCCACTACTTGGAAATTGGAATTAAAGGGCTGGTTTTATATGTTGGGCTACAATATAAGTTAAATGAGAAAAGGCCCAGTGGTGTGCATTTGGGCCAGCCCAAGGGCCATTTAATTGAGGGCAACATGGTCATTTCCCAACAATAAGACCATCTTCTTCTAGGATTTCACGTACATCCGCCATGCCTGAACTGGGACGTGCTCGACCAAGCTTGCAACCGGACCCTCGCCACGGCTGGACGCATGGATCACTCGTCGCCGGACCAAATATGCACAGGAGATCCGTTCAGAGAACCACCTGCCATGCTCAACGACCAAGACGTCGGGCTGATGAGAGCTGGTCAGAAAATGGACGGACGCCTCCGGAATGCGCCATTCGAGATATCTGGGCAGCTACTTAACGTCATCTGAATATATGGGACACCGGAAACTCGAACAATGGTTGAGAAAATGCAGCGAGAATGGAGTTTTAGATGCCAAGACCAACACGGGTCGTGTGGGCATGGACATGGGTCGTGTCGTTCCGACGGGTTGCTAATTGTGCTCTCGACTTTTTCACACGACTCGTGTGTCCAATGACACGAGTCGTGTGACCCTGTTACGAATCGTGTATCGAGTATAGAATTTTGTATCAAAACACGTACTAAAGCTTTGATTTTGACACGAATTTGTGCTCGGAAACGAGCTTTTTTCTGAGTTCTTTGATAAAATGATAAAGATAGTCTTACAAATGAACCAAAAACAACATAAAATAACCCTACTAACTACCCAAAACACACCTGAAATGAAAAGACAACTGAAATAAAAAACTGCTCCCGCCTAGGCCTTAGCGCCGCTAAGGGTCATTACTGGCCGCTAATCATCTTAGCGTGAAGCCTCTGTCCCCGCTATCCTCAGCCTTAGCGCTGCTAAGGGTCCTTAGCGGCGCTAACCCCTGTAAAGCTGCTATTTTTCTGCAGCTTCATTCTAGCTCGGCGAGCCCAGTTGTACGCGTTCTTCAGCTGATGACCCTCATCCGCATCATTCCCGTCTCCTTCAAGATTGTCCTTGTCCTCAAGGACAAAATCCAGAAATTGAATTTGCATATCGTGTAGACTTTCCCAAGTCGATTCCTCTTCCGAAAGTTGGTCCCATTCGATCAAGACTTCCCAACGGAAGCGACTAACCCTTTTTACCCTCATATAATTCAATGCTCATATTGGACGTATGATCGTAGTGCCTTCGGAGTTCACTTCTGGCAGCCCCGGTTGAGCTCCTTGATTTTTCCCTAAGCTTCTCTTTAGTTGAGACACATGAAGCACCGGATGAATTTGAGCTTCGGCCGGTAGATCAAGTCGATAGACAACTTGCCCCACGCGTTCCACAATTTAGTATGGGCCATAGAAACGACTTCCCAACTTGAATAGAGTCTTTTGAGAGATTGTGTGTTGGCGGTAAGGTGTAAGCTTCAAGTAAACCCAATCACACGGTTCGAATTGTTCCTCTCTTCTTCTTTTATCATAATACTCCTTTATTCGATTGATTGACCCGTACAAGTTTTCTTTGAGCTCCCAAATCATAAGATCTTGTTCCATGAGCTCACGATCCACCTCATCATTCGATGATTTTTTCATCGGATAACTCACCAGTAGGGGTGCCTTCCGTTCATAAACCAACTCGAAAGAAATGAATTTGGTCGATGCATGGTACGTTGTATTATACCAAAATTCAGCCTATGGTAGAAATCCTTCCCATTTTCACGGAAATTCATGAACATAGCATCAGAGATAATGTTAGAGAATGCGATTGGTTACCTCAGTTTGCCCGTCCGTTTTAGGATGATATGTTGAGCTCATAGCCAACTCGGTACCCTGCATTTTGAAAAACTCCTTCCAAAAACTACTCATGAATATCCAATCCCTATCTGATACAATGGACCGGGGAATCCTATGCAATTTCATCACATACTCAATAAATAACTTAGCTATGGATTTAGCCGTATATGAATGAGTAATAGGAATGAAATATGCATACTTGGTAAAACGGTCCACGACCACCATGATCCCGTTGAACCCATTAGACATTGGAAGTCCTTCGATGAAGTCCATTGTTATGTCCTCCCAAATTCTCTCGGGTATCGGTAAAGGTTGTAAAAACCCTTCCGGTTTTCTGGAATCCTACTTCACTCTTTGGCAAACGTCACACTTTGTTAAGAACTCCCGAACGTCATTCTTTGCCCCCGACCAATAAAAGGTATTTGATAGCCTTGCCCACGTACGATACACTCCCGAGTGTCCCCCAATCTTGGCTTCATGGAAATATTGTACCAGCTCAAGTCTCAAGTGATCGGTTTCCGGTACATACACCCGAACTTTGAATAGTAACAAGCCGCCATAAACATCATAATCTTGGACCTCCTCCTCTTGAGCTTCCATTTTCCTACGAACGTCATTACAAAAGGCATCTTGAACATTTGCCTCTCGTAGTTAATCCCATATAGCCCATGTTGGTCCCGAAACGGCTTGAAGTTCCGCCACGTCCGTCCGACGAGATAATGCATCCGCCACTGCGTTTTGTCGACCCGGCCTATAACAAATCTCAAAGTCGAACCCCATGAGTTTTGACACAAATTTTTGTTTCTCCGGTGTCACTATTCGTTGTTCCAACAAATGCTTTAGAGGTTGTTGGTCCGTCACAATTCGAAAATGTCGGCCTAAAAGATAAGGCCTCCAAACCCGGACTACTTTTACCACAGCTAGCAACTATTTCACGTAGACCGACCATCCCATTCGTACACCCCTCAAGGCTTTACTCATATAAGCAATGGATAGATCTTCTTGCGCAAGGACTGCTCCAATTCCCACATCACTAGCATTCGTATGCACTTCAAACATCACCTCAAAGTTAGGCATAGCCAAAACTGGGGTCGTTGACATAGCCCCCTTGAGTTTTTTGAATGTCTTCTCACTACTAGCCGACTATTTGAACCCTCCTTTTTTCGTCATCTCCGTCAATGTCTTGGCAATCGATCCAAAGTCTTTGACAAATTTTTGATAATATCCGGTCAACCCCCAAAACCCCCGTAGTTCCTTCAAATTCTTCGGTTTAGGCCAATCAAGCATCGCCTCAATTTTCTTGGAATCCACTTTAACTCCTTCAAAAGATATGATGTGGCCCAAATACTCTACCGATTCTTGGCCAAAAGAACACTTCGAAGGCTTTATCTGAAAATCATTCTCCTTCAAAATATTCAAGACCACCTTCAAATGCATCACATGTTCATCCCAATTCTTTGAATACACCAATATATCATCGAAGAACACCAACACAAATTTTCGCAAGTAATCTTGAAATATCGAATTCATAGCGAATTGAAAGGTGGATGGTGCATTACATAAACCGAAAGGCATTACCAAATATTCATAGTTCCCTTGATGAGTTCGGAATGCCGTCTTGTGAATGTCCTCTTCTGCCACCCGTATCTGATGGTAACCTGCTCGCAAATCCAATTTGGAAAAATAACGGGATCCCGCCAACTTGTCCAACATGTCATCAATGCATGGGATTGGAAAACGATCCATTATGGTAGCCGTATTGAGAGCCCGCTAATCCGTACAAAACCTCCACGTCCCATCCTTTTTCTTGGCGAGAAGTACCGGTGAAGAAAAAGGACTCATACTATGCCGGATTAATCCCAACTCAAACATTTCATGAACTTGCATCTCAATCTCGGTTTTCTGAAAATGGGCATACCTATAAGGATGTACATGTATGGCTTTGGTTTTATCCAACAAAGGAATAGGATGATCGAACTCTCTTCGTGGTGGTAGATTTTTTGGATTAGCTTTCACTTCTTCGAATTGTTGAAGCAACTCGTCAATCTCCTTTTGCTGAAAGTTTTCCTCATCAACACCCTCCAATTTATCGACTCTAATGGCAAAGATTTGACTATCTTGCCTCCACAATTTCTCCAAACTTTAAGCACTCACCTCCTTCGTTCCCTCCTTTCCTCTAGTTGATAATTTAACCATTCCATCACCCCAATGAGATTCCATTGTTCCCACTCTATAGTCCGTAGTAACCGGACCCAATCCTTCCAACCATTGAACCCCCAAAACCACGTCCGGACCTACCAAAGGTAGTGCATACAAGTCGGCCTTTAAAGTGACCCCTTGCATTTTTATCGGCACACTCCGGTAAAACTCCGAGCATTTCAACCTCTCACCATTAGCAACCCTCACTTCAAACGGCTCAACTTTTGTGACATGTTAATGCAAGTGTGAACGTCCTGGTCCGGCTTGGGGTAGACCGATTCTTGTCCTCACCGGTAGAACGCCGGAAACTTGCAATTAACTCTCACACCGGGGGTTGTGTCCGGTGAAGAACCTCCGATGCTTAAGTCAGTATGTGTATGAGTATATTGAAGTGAATAATGGAAAAATCGTCCTAAGGGAGAAAGGATCAACCCCTTTATATAGGGATGAGATACTTGCCGTAATAGCTGCCCGGATAAGGTGAGCTGGCTGCCCAAGCTGCCCGTCCGTACACACAATACGCGTGTGTCAGGGGTAGCCGTCGCCACTATCGGCTGCACCAATATCCTTTGGACGCGTGTCCTCCTGCACATGGGGTAGGCTGTCAAAGGTGGTTATTGCTATAAACCACTGCATTCTCGACACGTGTCCCCCTGCACATGGGGTAAATATTCTCCTAAAATTCGGTTAAAGGCTCTCTCACGCGCCTGTGACTAGGCCGATCAATATGGTGTTAAGTCCTCGAAGTGGTTGACTTGTTGAGGCCGACTGAACTGCTCGATCCTTCGTCTGGATAGTTTGATCGACGGCTTCGCTGGCCGACTGGTTAACTGCTCGATTTCCTCGACTTCCTCGCGATACGAGCTCCTCGACCGGTCAGTAGACCGGTTTAGCCTTGTGGGTAATATCCTATATCATCTAGTCCCCCCCACTCTGGTCGAGTCTAGATAACTCGATCTAAGAGTGAGGTTGTGCTTATCGCCCTCCTGGGTGGCATAATGTCATATATCGACCATTTGGTCAATTTCCCGCTCACCCTTTTTTTTTAAATAATTCCTCATTAATTGACAGGGATAAGGTCGTCTACCCGTCTTTTTTGTCGTGCCTACTTTTCTGCCACGCGTCGTATATGCCGCACTTGTCAGGCGTTTTAATGATAGCGCCTCCTCGTATAATGCGCCCATTTTGAATACCGTGTAAATTAGTGCTTTTTAGCGTTAGATCTGGCTTTAATCCGACTGCTCTCCTCTCTCAACTCTTCAACTCTCCAAGTATAAATTCAGTACTTAGCGAATTTTCTAAGTTTTTCCACCTTTGCGATTTCGAACTCTCATGTGCTCAAACATCCCTTTTTCCAGAACCCTAATCTTTCTTGGCGGTTTCCCCTGCGATCTTCGAGTTTTTCCAAATCTCTCATCTGCGATTATGAGTAAGTCGCTTCTCGCCTGATTTTATGTTTCCTGTATCTGAGATTTCGCGTTTTGAATTTTTTGAGGGTGTCTTGAAGTTTGCTGATTGAGGATTTTGAATTTGTATGTTGGGTGTCGGTGTTCGCTTGTCAATCACTTATGAATTTCGCCCTCTCTCTTCGAAAATCTTCTGAAATCCCTGTTCTCCTTCTCTAAGTTTTTCGAAATTATCTCCCTCGTAGAGCCTTAATTCTTTGAAGTTTCACCTTTCTCGAAAGTTTTTGCCTTTTTTGATTTTGTTCTCGTTTTTTCTTTTTTCAGATCCTGCACCTCCCTCTCCTTCTTCAACCAATTCCTCCGATTCCGTTCAAGTACTTCCCTCTGCGCTCGAGGTTGTTCCTCACTCGATCCTTCGCCCCGACGATTTTGTTCCTACCCGTATTTTCACAGCCCGTGTTGCTTCTTCCAACTCCAGGGATACTATGGATAACATTCCTCTCTGTCACCGTCGACCTGCTCTCGGCGCGTTAGACGAGCCTGAAGAGGACTAGATCATTTCTCCTCAACCCGCTTCTGCTCCCTCTTCAACCATTCCTCCTTCTTCTTCTCAGCCTGGTGCTTCAAACTCTCCTTTCAACAAAACCTCAACCAAAAAACCCCGTAGGACTTCCACTAAGCACCCTTCTCTCTCACATGTTTGGTATTCCCCTGTAAAGATCGGCCACCCCAACGGTTGGTTGTTTCTCAGTTCTTCTTCTACTGAAAAATACGATCGTCCACCTAGAGACTGTTATACTTTCTTTGAGATTCAATTTAAACTTGGCCTCCGTTATCCCCTGAATCCCGAGCTACTTCGCATCTGCGAGTGATTCCCGCTTCCTCTGCATCAACTCCCCCTCAACGCCATTCGCTTTATGACCACTTTTATGATCCTTTGTTGCGTCCGCTTAGGTCAATTCGACCTATCCTTCTTTCATTACTGTTATGCCCCTTCAAAACAAGGTCGAGGCCATTACCTTAAGAGTCGCAACGGTGCTCACTTCATCAATGACATCCCTTCCAACCTCCCTAAGTGGAGTGACAAAGTAATTTTTGTCCAACCTACTGTCCCTTTCCCTTGGCCCTCCATTCCTTGGGTCAAGGAGGTTTCCCAAGAGGCAGCCTCGGCTCCTCCTCCAAGCCCCCTCTTCGACTAACGGATCCACACTTGGAATTCCAAGTCCATTGTGTCCGAAGTACTTCTTAAGGACGATAATCTTCTTCATTATTGTGGTCTTCTTACCCACAAGACTTGTCCTCCACCCAGTGATGAGATCCTCGATCTCATCCAGATCGAGAATGACCCAGGTTATCTTCGACCAGATTATTCGGATGTTTCGGCACCTTTCTGTGTTTGTTTTGATTATTCTCTATTAATGTTGGTTCTAATCTTCTTGCTACTTTCCTGCAGAGGTGCCCAGTTTCAATATTCCCCTAAGGAAGACCCCTCTGAAACGGAAAACAGGAGACACCCCTGGTTCGGCCGGCGACAACACCTCGGCTGCCTCTTCTGGGTCTCGACCAAAGCCATCACAGCAGCGATCGCCTCAGCTAGGGGCCACGCCACCTCCACCCCCGCCGCCGAAACAACCACAACAGCCGCAGCCATAGCCACAAAAACAACAGCAACCGCTACAACATCAACCACCGAAGCCACCGCAAGGCTGAACTTCAAAGCCACCTTCTTAGAAGAACCCTCTGCAAAAATCCCTCTCGTCATCGACCAGCAAATCTTCGACCTCCTACAAGGTCGATGACCGTCAAAAGACTACCGACCGTCAACACAAGCCCGACGACCGCCAAAAAACTACTGATCGTCAACACAAAGCCGATGACCGCTCACAAAAAACTGACGACCGCCAGAAGATCGACAACCGCCATCAAAAAACCGACCAGCGAGCTCCCAATCCTAAAGATGCTACTTCTTTCAAAACCACAGACAAATCTTCTGAACCCAATGCCTCGTCCAAAGCCAAGACCCCGGACAACACTCCTGTCGACCGCTCTTCCTCCAAGCAGCTTGTTGTTGGCTCGACCAAATCTCTGGTCGAGCCTGATAGTCAAGATGGTGTGGGGCGCGAGCTGGCCCTGGGGAAGCACTCTCGTACCGACCAGGGCAACACGGTCTGGAAAAGGGGGCGGGCCAGCCATTCTTGGCCCGACCCGCTGGCCCCAAAATCTACCTCCCTGCTGTCGGCCACCGTGAACGAGGTGGCCAAGCATCTTGAGGGTGCCCTCCTCGAGGACGACTGCAAAAAGGGTAGCGCCATTCTGCCCGAGGTTGGCGAAAAGCTCGTACAATGTCTTGCCCAGGTATTACTCGTCTCAAACTTACGTTAGTCCCCTCCCCAACTTTCTTTTGTCGATACATGGGTTGAACTGTTTTTTTTTATTAATTTTGTTGATAGGGCTTGGTCGAATTTTTGCCTCTGGCCAAGGAGGCCCGAGACAGCTCTGGGAAGTCGATAAAGAGTCTCAAGGGCGCTCTTGGCTTTATGCAGGACAAAAATTCTACTCTTCTGATGCATAATGCCAAGCTCCGCGAGATCCAAACGGAGCAGAAGACTGAGTTCGACGTCAAGATTAGATCCCTTGACGAAGAGCTCAGTAACAAGAGTAAGGCCCTCGCGGAGAAAGATGCTGCTCTCGCGGCAAAGGAGGCAGCGGTAGCGGAAAAGGAAGCCGCTCTAAAGGAAAAAGAGGCTGCACTCGAGCAAGAACGGGCTGCTCGAGCCGAGGCAAAGAAAGCTTGAGTTGAGTTGGGAGCGGCTCGAACACAGGCGGAGGCTGCTCGAGCTGAGTTGGAGGTGAACCTGGCTAAGGAGAGGGCTGCCCACGCTAGCCAATGTAAACGCTACGCTGATGCTGCGGCTCTTCGAGCTCGGCAAATGATGTGGGGCACAACTACTGGGCAACTCTTCCTTCAAGAATATCGCGCACAAACGGTGGCTAATTTCGTGCAGTCACTGCAATATCTGAAGGATGTTCAAGACTTTGGGGTGGACTGTTTCCAGTTCGCCCTACAGAAGGCGGGCGAGCAGATCGCTGAGGACGATTTCGAGCAGCTCGATCCTGGGGCTATCTGGGAGGCCTTGCCCAAGGTTCCTTCTAGCTTCCAGGCGATCCTAACTTACCGCCTGAGCACGAGTGGTGGTCAAGGCTGCTCGAAAGGACTCTGGCTCGATTGGACATCTTGAAGAAAACTTATGCCCTGCCTAATGGTGTAACTCCTCCAGCTCCAATGTTGGCCATGTTGGCCGAGTCTATTCGAAAACGTCCTCTTAATGAAGCTTGTGACTCGACCTCTGGGACCAGCCATCCACCTGAGCCGAACGCCAACATGAGCAACGCCGACTCGACCGCTGCTCCTCTTCCCTAGATTCAACTTTGTATTTTTCAACTTTGTATTTTTCGCTTTATCTCTTTTGAATTCGAGCTATGTATGGTTGACAATCTTTCATGATCTATTGGAATGTGAGTGTTTTGCTTAATTTGTCTTTGTTGTCGCTGATCTTTTTGAATGAGCTAACTCGATATTCTTGCATGCCCCTCCAACGATTTTGTTCATTAATTATGCAAGTGTGTTTGCTTTGTACTCGATTGGTTATCCAAGATCTCGCTATGACATGCGCCATACATACATTGCACCATTGACATAAAACTTTGAACACACGCCCAACTTCAGAGATGGGCGAAACATGCGACCATCCAGCCTCACGGCCTTAAACATGATGGATTTTAGATTTTTGAACACATGCTCACCTTCAGAGGTGGTCAATTCATGCGACCATCCAGCCTCACGGCCTTAAATATGATGGATTTTAGATTTTTGAACACATGCCCACCTTCAGAGGTGGTCGATTCATGCGACCATCTAGCCTCATGGCCTTAAACATGATGGATTTTAGATTTTTTAACACATGCCCACCTTAGAGGTGGTCGATTCATGCGACCATCCAGCCTCACGACCTTAAACATGATGGATTTTAGATTTTTGAACACATGCCCACCTTCAGAGGTGGTCGATTCATGCGACCATCCAGCCTCACGGCCTTAAACAGGATGGATTTTAGATTTTTGAACACATGCCCACCTTCAGAGGTGGTCGATTCATGCGACCATCCAGCCTCACGACCTTAAACATGATGTATTTTAGACTTTTGAACACATGCCCACCTTTAGAGATGGTCGATTCATGCGACCATCCAGCCTCACGGCCTTAAACATGATGGATTTTAGATTTTTGAACACATGCCCACCTTCAAAGGTGCTCGATTCATGCGACCATCCAGCCTCACGGCCTTAAGCATGATGGATTTTTTGCACCGCTTCGTCTCTCTTTACCTTTGTATCCTAGTGCTCGTTCGCTGGGTGCTTGTTCGTCGGGTTATGAAATGCCGCTCATCTCGATTCCCTGGTCTTTGTATTTTCTCACCAGGCTCCAAGGTCTTGGCTGCGGGGAGACTGTATTCACACTTGCCCACCCCAAGGGATGTTCTAAACAAGAGGCCACCCAGCCCGAGGGCGTAAGTAATCGACCGACCTGCCCACCCCAAGGGATGTTCTAAACAAGCGACCACCCAGCCCGAGGGCCTTAATCATGGTGGGTTTTGGTCTTCACACTTGCCACCCGCGAGAAATGTTCTAAACAGGAGGCCACCCAGCCCGAGGGCGTGAGTAATCGACCAACCTGCCCACCCCAAGGGATGTTCTAAACAAGCGACCATCCAGCCTGAGGGCCTTAATCATGGTGGGTTTTGGTCTTCACACTTGCCCACCCGCGAGGAATGTTCTAAACAGGAGGCCACCCAGCCCGAGGGCGTGAGTAATCGACCAATCTGCCCAGCCACAGGGATGTTCTAAACAAGCGACCACCCAGCCCGAGGCCCTTAATCATGGTGGGTTTTGGCTTTCACAGTTGCCCACCCATGAGGAATGTTCTAAACAGGAGGCCACCCAGCCCGAGGGCGTGAGTAATCGACCAGCCTGCCCACCCCCAGGGATGTTCTAAACAAGCGACCACCCAGCCCGACGGCCTTAATCATGGTGGGTTTTGGTCTTCACACTTGCCCACCCGCGAGGAATGTTCTAAACAGGAGGCCACCCATCCCGAGGGCGTGAGTAATCGACCAACCTGCCCACCCCCAGGGATGTTCTAAACAAGCGACCACCCAGCCCGAGGGCCTTAATCATGGTGAGTTTTGGTCTTCACACTTGCCCACCCACGAGGAATGTTCTAAATAGGAGGCTACTCAGCCCAAGGGCGTGAGTAATCGACCAACCTGCCCACCCCAAGGGATGTTCTAAACAAGCGACCACCCAGCCCGAGGGCCTTAATCATGGTGGGTTTTGGTCTTCACACTTGCCCACCCGCGAGGAATGTTCTAAACAGGAGGCCACCCAGCCTGAGGGCGTGAGTAATCGACCAACCTGCCTACCCCAAGGGATGTTCTAAATAAGCGACCACCCAGCCCGAGGGCCTTAATCATGGTTGGTTTTGGTCTTCACACTTGCCCACCCGCGAGGAATGTTCTAAACAGGTGGCCACCCAGCCCAAGGGCGTGTTTAATCGACCAACCTGCCCACCCCAAGGGATGTTCTGAACAAGCGACCACCAAGTTAGACCACACCATATTCCTCATGTCATCCAACCATACCAGCATTCCAAACATAAGAAAATGTGCAATGCAACAAGTAATACGAAAGGATAACTGAATTTCATTAACTTTTTTTGAGCAAACTTTGCAAGTTACAACTTTGTTCGGACTTCCAGGATTTCTTTGCAAAAAGTAAAAAAATTCTACACATAATATTTTTTCACAATTAGCTATGTTCCATGACCTGGCTAGCGATCGGCCTTCTGCATCTTTTAGCGAGTACGATCCTCCTGCGTGCACGCGCTCGACCAGGTATGGTCCCTCCCAGTTTGGCTCTAGCTTTCCTACATGCTTGAGTACGTCGACACGTTTCCAAACGAGGTCGCCTACTTGGAGTCAGCGAACTTTCACCTTTTTGTCATGAACGGCTCGCATCCTTTGCTTGTATGTCTCCACCCTGATTGTTGCTCTTCCACGCAGCACCTCAATAGTATCCAGGGCTGCCATCATTAAATCCTCGTTTTGCTCACTATCATATGTGCTCGACCTCTGGGATGATAACTCGATTTCGACCAGCAGCAACGCCTCCATCCCATAGGCTAAACTGAAGGGAGTTTCTCCTGTTGTCGACCTCGGGGTTGTGCGATACGCCCAAAGTACCGAGCTCAACTCATCGACCCATGCCCCCGAGGCCTTTTCCAGCTTTGTTTTCAGCCCATTCAATATAATTCGATTGGTTACTTCGACCTGACCATTGTCTTGCGGATGAGCAACGGAGGCAAAGTGTTGCTCGATTTTCATGTCTTCACACCATGCTCGAATCTGCTTACCATTGAACTGAGTGCCATTGTTGGAAATCAACACTTTGGGAACGCCAAACCTACAGCAAATGTTGTTGTATAAAAATTTGATTACATTTTCCTCCGTGATCTTCGCCAAAGGTTCAGCCTCCACTCACTTTGTGAAATAATCCACTGCCACTATCAAGAACTTCCTCTGCCCAGTTCCCTGCGGCATCGGTCCCACCAGGTCGATACCCCACTGGGAGAATAGTATAGGGGCACTCATCATCGTCATCGCCCCTTCCGGTTGGTGGATAAGAGGGCCATGCTTTTGGCATTGTAAGCATTTCTTCACCATCACCTTCGCATCCTCCCTCATCGTCGGCCAGAAATATCCTGCCCTCAAAATTTTTGCAACCAAGGCCCCTGACTTACTATGGTCACTGCAGCACCCTTGATGCATTTCTCTCAGCATATATCGACCTTCCTCCTTAGTAACACAACGCAAATGCGGTCCCGCATACGACCGCTTGTAAAGGATGCCTCCATGCTCAAAAAATCTCCTCACCGCCTTTATAACCCCCACTTTCAGCTCCTCTAAGATCGGGGCTCTCCAATCCTCTACTTCCTCAATCTCCGCCACTTCCGTTTCGACCACACTCCTCTATAGATGCAATAGAGTAACACTTCTGCTCTTACAGTCCACCAAGCTTTGAGCAATTTTAGATAACAAGTCTGCCTGACCATTTTCTCCTCGAGAGATCTGTATCAGCTCGAATGAATCAAACTCCTCTTTCAACTTCCTCATCTCGTCTACATATTTTGGCATCCGGTCCTCCTTAACTTCAAACCCCTCCTGAAACTGCCCGACCACCAGTTGAGAATCAGAATGCACTTGTACTTTTTGGGCTCCTCCCGCTCTAGCTAAACTCAAACCTTTGATAACCGCATCATACTCGGCCTCGGTGTTGGATATCCTGAACCCTACCTTGGCCGAAAACTCTAAGTAATCGCCCTTAGGAGAGACAAAGACAGTTCCCAATCCTGCCCCACTTCTTGCCACAGATCCATCCACAAATAACTGCCATACTCCTCCTAACTTCTCCTCGATCTTAGTGCCTTCCTGGATAAAATCGACCAACACCTACGCCTTTATGGCTCTCCTTGGCTCATACGACAGAGAGTATTCACTCAACTCGACTGCCCATTTTACCAATCGACCAGAGACCGATGGTCGGCCAAGCGTTTCTCCCAATGGCATGTTTGTTCGCACCTTCACTTTATGATTCAAGAAATAGGGCATCAGCTTTCGAGCAGTTACAACCACAGCTAGAGCACACTTCTCGATCTCCGAGTATCTCATTTCCGCTCCCTGCATCACCCTACTCACGTAATAGACAGAAAATTATGCTGCCCCTTCCTCCCGCAGCAATACCGAACTCACAGCCCTTTCTCCGATAGAAATGTACATCACCAAATCCTCACCTTGTTCTGGTTTGGCCAACAGGGGAAGATTGGCTAATACTCCTCGTAACTCCTCGAATGCCCTTTGCGCCTCCTCCATCCACTGGAACTTCGCACTCTTCTTCAGTGTTTTAAATAATGGGCCACTTTTTTCTGCCACCTTCGATATAAAACGACTTAGCCCTGCAATTCAACCAGCCAAGATTTGTACCTCCTTAACATTTGCTGGTGACTGCATCTCCATCACCGCCCGCACTTTTTCCGGGATCACCTCAATACCTCTCTTGGTCACCAAATAACCCAAGAACTTCCCTGACTTCACTTCGAACAAGCACTTGGCTGGATTCAGTTTCATACCGTACCTCCTCAAAGTTAAGAACATTTTCTTCAAGTCCCGCACGTGATCTATCTCCTCCTTGATCTTCACCAACATATCATCCACGTATACTTCCATATTTCTCCCCAGTTGCTCTTTAGAAATTTTATCGACCAACCTTTGATACGTGGCGCCTGCGTTTTTCAGGCCGAACGACATCACCACGTAACAATAGGTTCCCCGACTCGTCACGAAACTCACCCTTTTTCTATCTTCTTTCGCCAAGGGAATTTGGTGGTACCCCTGGGAGGCATCCATCAAGCTCAAAAATTCACATCCAGCTGTCAAGTCGACCAGCTAGTCGATTCTAGGTAATGGGTACAGATCCTTCGGGCACGCTTCGTTCAGATCACAGAAGTCGATGCACATTCTCCACTTTCCCTCCGCCTTTGACACCATAACTATATTTGATAGCCATTCTGGGAACTGAATCTCCTTGATATGCCCCGCTTTCGACAGCTTCTCGACCTCTTGCTCGATAATTTTATCCATCTCCGTTCCATGGTGTCTTCTCTTTTGCTTCACCGGCCTCACATTGAGGTCGATGTTCAGCCGGTGTTCGATCACCCCAGCACTTATTCCCGTCAACTCCTCCGTTGTATATGCGAAGATATCTGCAAACTCTCTAACTAGACAGATCAACCTCGATCTAATGGGCTCCTCCAGATCCTTCCCCACTCTGAACTTCTTCTCCTCACATCCCTCGATCATCTGAATTTCCTCGACCTCCTCTCCTGGCCAGATATCCACTTTCTCTTTTCCCTTCTCCAACCTCTGCTTATCTTCTTTCGACCTCGACCCTCCTGGTCGATTAATCTCCTCCCCTTTCGGCCCAGCCTGCCTCTTCGCTAGCTGTTTGTTGTTGCTCACCGTAGTTTGGTAGCAACTCCTCGAGGTAAGTTGATCTCCAGCATTCTCTCCAACGTTTTCGCCCACAGGGTATTTGATCGTCATGTGGTACGCGGATACGACCGCCTGGAATACATTCAAGCTTGTTCTCCCCATTATAATGTTATATGACGACTTAACCCCGACGACAACAAACCTCACCATCTGGACTTTCCTCATCATTCCTGATCCCACCGCCACGGGCAGGCTGATCTCTCCCATCGGCATAACCTCCTCTCCATTGAAGCCGTATAACGCCGTGGCCACCGGTTTCAAATCCATGTTCAGCTCTTTATTAATCTGCACAAAACAGTCATAAAACATCACATCCACCAAACTCCCAGTGTCAATAAACACCCTCTTCACATCAAAACTCACAACCTCCGCGGTAATCACCAGAGCATCATTATGTGGTACGACCACTCCCTCAGCATCCTCCGCCTTAAAACTTATTACCGGCATGCGAGCCGTAATCCCCACTTCCTCTCTTTTCCTCTTCACCGCTCGAGCATGCTCCTTCATAGCGTGATTTGAGTCGCCATCCGTCGGCCCTCCAGAAATCATATAAATCGTTCCTCTCTTCAACGGGGCTTCCCTTCCTTTATCCCCATCTTTCCTTGGCCTCTTTCCTCGACCGTCTCGTCCATCTCTATCATCACCCTCCTCATCCTCATCACTTCTCTCTTCAGAATCCTCCCGACATCTTCTCCTCCCTTTTCCTTTCGCTCTGTCGTGATAGACAAACTCCTTCAGGTGCCCTGCTCGAATCAACCTCTCAATTTCATCCTTCAAATGCCTGCAGTTCTCCGTGGTATGGCCATAATCTCGGTGAAAACGGCAGTAAATATCCGACCTGGGCCTAATCGGGCCAGTAAACCTCATCTTCGGCCACATGACATCCTCGCTTGACATCTTCTATTCCATAGCCTCCAGCACCTCAGTTAAATCTTTCCTCAAGGGTGTAAAACTATGATATCTCTGTATTTCGAACGACATTGGCCTCCTCTGCCATTCATCCCTTTTCTCCTGTTTTGAATCTCGACCTTCTCTCCTGGGCGATGCTCTTTTCGGCCCACTCCTCTTGGGCGAATTCATCCTCAACGATCTTCCTCTTTGCGGAGTCTTCTTCTTCTTTGGTTCTAGTCGAGCCGCCCCCTCCAACTTTGTAAACTGCATCTCCATCTCCTCCAGATTAATGTACTTTCTGCATCACTTCAAAACGTCCTCATATGATCGAGCAGGGGTCTTTGCAAGGGAGGTTCGACAAGGCCCCGCTCGAAGACTCCTTATTAATCCTCCTGCTTTCACCTCATCCGACGCTGAGTGCACCTCCAAACATGTTTGATTATATCGAGCAACATACTTTCTCAACCACTCCTTCTCCCCTTGCCTCATCGCCATCAGCGTCAAATATGTATTCTCCGGCGCCACCGCGCTCGAATATTGGTTGGTAAGCTTGCTGGCAAAATCCTCAAAGTCTGCGATCGACCCAGGGGGTAATTGATGAAACCAGTCGATTGCTCCCCCACGCAAGGTCGATAGAAATGCCCTGCAACATACAGAATCAGAATACCCATGTAATACAACCATGTTCTCAAAAGTCCTCACATGCCTCGACCGGTTAGATGACCCATCATACACCAGATTAGTCTCCTTGAAATTATTTGGTAGGGGGGCTGCGAGAATCTCCCTCGAGAACAGATGTCCTCGAGCTCTCCTCTCCGGCCTCCCCTTAACCTTATCCTGCAACTGGCGCAACTGCTCCTCTATCCTCTCCATTGCACGATCTCTTCCACCCCCTCCATCTCCATAACTGGACACATCCTCGTCCTGGCCTCCTGCTGTTGTGGTCGGCGCGGTGGTGGCGTGAGACGTGTGGCTCGTGACTTGCTGCACCGCCTGCGCCGCCGCAGCTGCCGCTATCCTCTGTATCTCCTCCCTGGTCATCGTCACCATCTGTTGACCAGGAGCTTGTGCAACGGCTTGCTGTGGTGCTCCTCTTTGTGTCGCCACTCCTCCTTGTACCATCGCTCCTCCTGGCTGCACCACCACGAGNNNGGGGGGGCGGTGGTGGCATCGCCGCCGCGGCTGCTACGAGAGCCTCTTGAGCACGACTGGAGCTGGCATCTCCTCCGAGAATCACTGTCGGACAGACATAGGAGTGATCGGCGTCTACAATGGGCCAAAAAAAACCCGGAGGAGGGCCTTGCCCAATCGGCCTGGTCGTCGTCGAACGTCGACTGCAAGTTCTTGGGAATTACGTCCGTCATAGCCGAGCTGCAAACACAACTTCTCAAAGAAAAGTTCCCACAGACGATGCCAATAATACAAGTGTGAACGTCCTGGTCCGGCTTGGGGTAGATCGATTCT